AGGCAGCGGGGCCCTCACTCGGGGCGCGGACCTCCCTTCCTTCCCCGCGGGGTCAGGGCGGGATGGATTCTGGTGGGTGACGGGCCTCTTCTCCCGCAGGCGGAACTCGGATCCTTTGCTCTTTCTCTGAAGGGCGGGACTCGGTTTCCTCCGGTCAAGTCACCCCCCTCTTTTGCTTCTCCTTTAGGAAGTATTACTCAAGAGGGCGGCAGACCTCGTGGAAGCCTTGTACGGGATGCCCCACAACAACCAGGTAGGCAGGTGCAGGCCGCCCCCTTCCCGGCGGGCCTTGTCGTTGGAGGGGCCGGCTGGCCCCGGGCCACTGCGGGTTTCCTGGGCGCACTTGTGCCTCTTCACAACCACTCCCAGAGAGTCTGGTAGGAGAGAGCTTCGCCTTCCTGTTTTCGCCCTCACACTGGGGCTGCAACTCGAAAATCACACGCCAGTGTCAGGGAGCCAAAGCGGAAGAACTTGTCACAGGAAAGACCCCCCTTGAAATCCATCAGGTGGATCTGGCGGAAGGTGAACGGTTTGGTGCTGCCCGCGTGGGAGGGAAGGACGGGCCCCCACGGCCCACCTTCATCCCCCCCGGAAGTCTCTGGGGAGCAGATGTGAGGGCATTCTAGATGCTTCTCTGACTCTGGGTCCGGTGCCTTCCACGCCTCCCCAGCTTCTGTGTGCACCTTCAGGGGCCCCTGGGCTGCAGGTGCGGAAGGGAGCAGACGTGCCTGCTCCGGCGCCCCACTAGATGATTTCCCCGAGGGAAGTTCTCTTCCTGTTACAGAAGAAGTTTTGTCCAGGGCACAGGGGACGTGCTTTTATCTGGCCTTGGTGGGGGCGGCGGGGGTGCGCGGTGGAGGGGGGCCCCGGGAGCTTGGGGCCGAACGCACGCTTCCCCTCCTGCCCAGGAGATCATCCTGAAGCGGGCAGCGGACATCGCCGAGGCGCTGTACAGCGTCCCCCGCAACCACAACCAGATCCCCACCCTGGGCAACACCCCCGCGCACACGGGCATGATGGGCGTGAACTCCTTCAGCAGCCAGCTAGCCGTCAACGTCTCAGAGACGTCGCAAGCCAACGACCAAGGTACGCCGCCGAGCGAGGTGACCCCCGGCCCAGACACGCGCGGCTGCCCCCGTCCTGGGTGCAGTGAGGAAGGCCAGCCGCTCCGCTCCCTGCAGCTCCGCGGTGAGGCCCTCGCGCCACAGAGCGCTCGAGCCCAGAGCTAATAGTTACTGCAACCACCTGGCTGCCACTCAGCTTCCTGGTCTCTGCTAGAAGCTTCCTTGAGAGGTTGGGAGCAGTCACGGGCAGCTGTGGTGTAGTAAGCGGAGGGCAGCCTTCTTGGATATGTCGCATGGGTGGGGCTTGAGACACTCTCCACCCCTCTCCTGTCATGTGGCGGCCTGGCCACCACGGGCCGCAGGACCCTGTTGCGTGAGCAGGTTCTGAGCACCTTATTTAGTTCTGCTCTTTAAGCCCCGGGCGGGCAGCAGTGTCAGAAATCCCCTCACCTGCCTGCCGCCCCCCCGCCCGCCCCCCCCCCCTGCAGCGGGAACCCAGCCGCCGCTCCCCACCCCTCCCCACACTTGGAGAAATAGTAACCATAAAAATGAAGACCCTAAACACCCCTTCCTGGGGAGTCACGGCCACAAACAAGTTCTCGCTGTCAGCCGTGGCATTTGAAGGTCTGCAGAGGCCAAAAGTTCACCTAGTGTGGGGGACAGCCCGCGAATCCAGGCTGTCGGTAATTGCTTCTAAGGAGAATCCTGGAAGCAGCTGACGGCTAGATCGAAGCGTGCTCGGCCGGCTGTCGAAGCCGACGGACACGGAACGGGGCCCAGCGAGGAGGCGCTCGGGCAGGGTTGGCGTGATGAGGTTATCCGAGCTGGCGAGAGGCGCTAGGGCTGCATAGAGCGTGAGGTCAATTAACGTTGGATTGTGATAGGGATTCGCGGGGAAACCCCCCCCAAGTGTCTCTCCCTGATAATAACGTTATTTTTGGCCGGGGGGGGGGTTTCAACAGTCGGCTACAGTCGCAATACAAGCAGCGTGTCCCCGCGAGGCTACGTCCCCAGCAGTACTCCCCAGCAGTCCAATTACAACACAGTCAGCACTAGCATGAATGGATATGGAAGTGGCGCCATGGCCAATCTAGGGGTCCCTGGCTCGCCTGGATTTCTTAATGGCTCCTCCGCTAACTCTCCCTACGGCAGTAAGTGTCTGTTTTGTCATCACACGGATTCATGTTCACCTACAAAGTCAAATGTGTGCATATTGCTTGGCTGTTCTGTGATGTGAGCTGCTGGACAAAAAGGGAGGGTGGCTCTGGAGGCTGGGGGTCCACGTGGCGACGGTACACTGACCGGCAGTGGGGCCCCGCGAGGCCGCACTGGAAACCCCCCCGGCGAAATCAGAAACTAAACGGGGGCCGCCCGATTGGAAGCGAAAGCCCCACCGAGAGTCTGCCTGGCATGCAGAGCGCGGCCGAGCGGGCAGCGCCTCGCGGGTGCTCCGGGGGCCGCGGTGTCCCGGGCGAGGCCCCGCCAGCCCTCTCCCTGTGTGGGGTCGCCGTGCCGGCGCCGCGCGTCCTGACCCTGTTTGCTTTGTTGCAGTAGTGCCGTCCAGCCCCACCATGGCAGCCTCTTCGGTCACCCTCCCTTCAAACTGTAGCGGTACACACGGCATTTTCTCATTCTCACCTGCCAATGTCATCTCTGCAGTGAAACAAAAGAGCGCCTTCGCGCCCGTGGTCCGGCCCCAAGCTTCTCCTCCTCCCTCCTGCACCAGCGCCAACGGGAATGGACTCCAAGGTGAGGGGCGGCGCGTCCTGGCCCACAGAACCGGCCCCGGGGGTCCCCTGGCCCTTCCTCCGGCGCCTTGCTCCCCCCCCCCCGCACCCCGCGGCCACTGCATGCTCTCCTCCGGTGGCCGCGATGCCGCGCGCCCCTCCCAGGTCTGCAGAGGTGACACGGGTTTGCGCCACCCCCACCTAGAACAGGCTCTGGCGGATGGAAACCGGTCCCTCCTGCTTCCTGCCTGGCTCCCTGTGTCCTCACGGTGAAGCCGTCCCCTGCCTTCAGGAAGGGGGAGCCGCTTGGGGATCACGGGGGACGCCCCAGGGGCCCCGTTCCGCCCACGCGGCAAACGGACCTTCACGGCCGGCGCCCCCGAAGTGAGAGCAGGGCGCACCCCGCCTGTAGCGCCTGGGCTTGCAGCCCCCTGGCTCACGGGCAACAAAAGCGCCTCAGGATGGGGAGGGCGGGTCCTCTGTCACCCGCGGGCCCAGCCCTGAGCCACACTCTCCGTGTCCCGAGTCGGAGCCTGCCTTCCCAGCCTGGCGTGGCAGACGTGGGGCCGCTGGGCTGTGCTGTCCTCGGAGGGGGTGCACCGACCCCGGGGCGGTGCATGCGTGCCCACCGGGGCGGGGGGAGTGTCAGGCGCTGTCTCGCACACACTCAGGAGGGAGAAGGGCTGGTCCCGAGGGCAGGGGGAGGCATCCCGTGGACACAGCGGCCCACGGACGGGCCACGTGGAGCAGGCACCCAGTGCCTGCCCAGGGCTGGGTCCCTCCAGGCAGCAGAGGCCGCACGGTGGCCTGTGAGGCGTGCGGCGGGTGGGCCACGTGCGTGCCCCTAGGCCTCGTGATCTTACCGCGTGGCTCTTTGTGACTCACTGGGGCCACAGGCACTGAATTAAGTGGCCGTCATCTGGCCTCTTTCAGACATCACCTTTGGTATATGCTCCTCCCGGTGAAAATCAAATCCAGTTACTCCTTTAAAAAAATGAATCCATTCAACCAGTATTTACTGAGCGCCTACTATGTGCCAGGCTCTCTGCTGGGTGCTGAGGACGTTACCGTGGAGAAGACAAACTGGCCCTTTTGTGAAGTCGGTGGCATATTTCACTTTGATGAACTAATGCTCAAAAAAGGAACTGGAAAGGTATCCGTGATTTGAAATAATTGTCTTCCCAACATCTTAGTTGTATGAGAGGGACGCCCAGGCCCCGTGTGCCGCCGACCGGCCCGCGGCCCAGAGCTGCTTGAAAGGCAGGTGGCCAGGGGCCACGGCCCGTCCACCGTCCACACGGTGCGGAGGCCACGGGAGGACGGCGCCACCCGAGCGGTGTGTGCACACACGGGTCTGCCGAACCATAATGTTGTAACGGTGAGTCGGAGAGGAATGAATACTGTGGAAATTAATGAACTGGGAAATTGAAGCTCACATCACTACGTGAACAAATGTATTAATACGTTATACATAAATTAACGAGAGTGATCGTTCTGACAAAAAGTAAACAACACTAAAGTTAAAAGATTTTAAATTATATTCATGCCAGGAGTTCACTGGGAAGCCTCAGCCGCGCTTGGCCTTGTCGCACCAAGTTTCTTATTCGTGGAGGAGGAGGGCCCCCCGAGGCGGGGCTGTGACTTGGGTCTTTTTGGGGCCTTGGCCTTGAGATCGCAGGGCAGGTGGGCTGCGAGCGGCTTTGCTCTAGGAGAGCCTGAGACTCACCATTACGATACGGCCCAGTGAGCAGGCGGTCAGAGGCGAGGGCTGAAAGCAGACGGGAAGTCCAGGCGCACCCGGCTTTCACGGAGCGAGTGAGCGTGGCGCCTGGGTCCCACTGGCCTCACGGAGGTCACCGGCTCGGTTCACATCTGTCAACAGGGGTGGCCTCTGGGGAGTCCAGGGCCTCGGTCTGCTATAAACAAGCCACTGAGATGCGAGGGAGGCAGCAGCCCCCCCCGCGCCCCCCCCCCCCAGGAAGTCTTGAGGAAGGGCTGCAGCGCGGAAGGTCCCGTGAAGTAGATGCCCCCCCCCCCCCCCCCCCCCCCCCCCCACCGAGCCCAAGGCTGGTTATGTCACCGTTGAGCCGAGCCCCAGGCGAAGGCCGGCCCGGCCCCGTGGGAGTAACCTGCCGCCTCTCTCTTTCAGCTATGTCTGGGCTGGTAGTCCCGCCGATGTGAGGGGCTCGCTCCCCCCTCCGCAGCACCCGGCACCACGGACGGACTTCAGGGGACACGTTTAGTGTAGAGGACCCGCTGCTGGAGCCCGTAATCTTCAAGTGTATCGGCAGCAGCGGAAACGCTACAAAAGACTTTGTTTAAAGATTTTATTTAAACTATTAAGAATCAACATGCAAACAGCCTACTTCTTCATGAACAATTCCATTTTATTGACTGAACTTTTCTCATATTTTCACATTTCTCAGACCTGAAGACTAAGGAGAACAAAGCGACGCCTATTTTGTATAAAGTTTCTGACTCCGTCTTGGCTCTGTCTCGTACTTGCTATGTGTTGGGAGAAACTCTGTGAATGCACCATTTTGATTATCATGAAACACTGATGAAAAATGCCTCCAAACATTTTTCTGTGCTCATACTTAGATTCACAATGGTTGTGTATCTCTATAATGTGAAATATTTTTTTGTGGTGAAAAAAAAAAGGGGGCCAAGGAGGCGTGAGCCATCGAACTGGAAGGAAGGAGGACTTCGAGACGAGAATTCCGGGTGGCAGGGAGGGGGGGGAGGGTTTATCATTGCTTAACTTCATCTTAATGAAATGAAACTTTGTAACTTATTGTAGTTAGAAATTGTAACTTTGATATTGAATTCTCTTGCCTTCAACAAGCACACTGACAGAAAAAAAAAATGCTACTGTCTGTTGGTTAAAATATTCTCCCACCGCTAGAGCTTCCTGTTAAGCAAGTGTGGTATGCAACATTTTTTCCACTTTTGCTAGCACTGTATACTATTGCATTCTTAGGCTACTGTGAGGTCCATGTTTCTTGTACCAGAAATTGTCCTTTTGACTTCTAGCTCCTTCTTCCCTAATGTGTTTTGTATGTGGTTATAAAATTGTAGACTTTTGTGATTTTGCCAAAGTTGTAGCTAAATATTTATACACTTGTCTTGAATTTTTTTCAGATCCACTTAAATATTTAGAAAAACACCTTTTCTTCCTTATGTGTCTCATAAGGAATAAAATGGTCTCCATTCAACACTTTTCCACGAACACTTGCAGTTGCTAAGGGACTTTCTTTTGTAACATATCGATTATAAATATTGTATTTATCTTTGAAATTTTGTACATTGCTTTTACCACCATTTTCTTTTTCCTGTGTCTGTACTGGCTTTTGATCATGGCCTGGTGTTGGGAAGAGCGTTAAGCCAAGAGCTGCCTCTCTGATCTGTTTCGGTAAAGTGAACCGGTGTCCTTGAAGTTCATTTGTACTTTATAAAGATTTGCTTCTGTTTGGACTTTCCATCCTTTTTTTTTCCTTTCTTTTTTTATTTTGAGGAAAAGTCAAATTCATTATTTTTATATTATTTTTAAGTTATCTGAACAAATACTTTTGAAAACAGAGTTTGTTGTATAGTCAACTCAGAACGGTGCCACGCGGCTGTGAGAACCTTAGTAGACTCCGTGCATGTGGAACAGCCGTGAAGAGGGACACCGTGCGGGGCCGTGTCCTTATTTTTCTGTAGAATGTAAAAAGTCATTTTAGCTGCCACCCACGACTTTGCCACATAGCTGAACTGTGTTTACTGGAAAAATTCAGAGGCCTAAAGTTTAAAATAAAATTTACTTCTGATGTTTTAATTAAAACGTTTGCCACATTAACTTCTCTGATGCCTTAAAAGTGGACTTCTTTAAAGAACCTTTGTGCTACTTTACCACAGGCTTACAGTACAACTGTTAATGATTTCATTTGGAGATTTAGGGTGTCGCACACGCGCGCACACACACAAAAGCACAAACCTGATGTTCCACGTGCCGTTCCTTCCTGCGTCTGATTCGGCTGCGTTCTGTGCCCTCCCAGGATTCAGAGAGGTTTCGGGGGGACACAAATCACTGCTGGTTTTCAAACCGTTTTTGTTTTTTTCTTAAGTAATCCTTTTCTCTTCGTGGCCAGACCCAACAGCACCGTCTGTACTCTACACGGGAACGAGCTCCTCCCGATCCTGTGCCTCTTAGTGCCAAACCCGCAGTGACACCAGAGGGTCCATCTTTCCCCTTTGCGTTAAACGCTCCACACAGCACAGCAACTGTTGCAAACTGCAGCAGAAATCAGATTTAAAACAAAAAGGAAGGACTTAAAAAAAAACTTTCTTGACAAACACAAAAAACAAAAAACCATGCACAACTTAGGGAAGTGCTCATTCGAGGGACTAGATAAGCAGAATGTCCCCGGTGGTCAGCGGGTCGCCGCGGCCCGGCCCTCCGACGGCTAAGGCTTAGCTACGTGGAAAAGCCTGAGAAGTCACTTTGGAACTAAATTGCCTCCGTTTTATTTTGTATAAGTAAGGGTTTGATCTAAAAACAAGCTCACGTGTACATGTGAAGAACGTTTGCAAGTTTCCTCATCCCTGCACTCGGTCTGTGTTTTAGATTAATTAATTAGTCAATGCCCCTCATTGCTTCATGGTCTCAAAACTGAGCGCTTCACTAAATGGTAGATTTTACTGTTAAAGACCCTACAATAAGATTGTTTTATCTGTACATTTTTTCAGATATTTAACTGTATAAAAATGTTCATTTTACACAATATTTAATTAAAGTATTTCTTGTCTGTGAATTTCACTTTGGGTAATTTTATCTGTTTTGATTAAAATGAGTGGCAAAGTGCATGCAGATGTTCACTGGGGCCCCGGGGTTGGCGTGGGGGTGGGGGTGGGGTGGGTTGTTTCTTTAACGGCCTGGGCTCCGGGGCTGTGTCTTGGCCAAGATAAAAGTGATTCATAAAAGAACCTTCTACAAAGTTATCGGTCCTCAAACCACTCTTGTAACTTGCATAGAGAGATCCGTATGGCTCTGGTCCCCACAGGGGACGTCTGTACGTATGTTGCACTCAAACGTACATGACCCTGTGTCAGACACAGAGCCCACGGTGGCACCGTGGCACATAACCAACCATGAGACTGTCGCCGTCCCCAGGTCCCTACCTCTGCTTTGGAACTGGGGGGCCGGAGGGTAAAGAGCAGGTGCTTGCTTGGGCACACACTCTCCCGCCACCCTCACCATGGGGCACCACCGGGGTGAGGACGGGACTTAGACCCCGGACGGACGGGCAGGCAGGCAGGCAGGCGCCAGGCGGTGGTGCTGGCCGCGGTACCCCCCGGGATGCCATCACCGGTTCTCGGGCCCTTGGCACCGCAGTCCGTGTGCACCCCCGAGTGTGGACACCGACACTGATGGGGGCGGCTTCTCATCCGCACAAGGAGGCTGGGCTCCTGCGAGTTCCTCCCCTTCATTTCATTCCGTATTTTTCATTTTCTCCTCAATGAAAGGCTGGTTCTGCGTGTTTTGGCTTGCAGCTCGGTAACACATACACATAAGTGTGATCCAAATTAGTGTTCACAAATGTCATCTTAATTACTTGTTCTGCTGAGCAAAACAGGAAACAATTATTCAAAACATAAAGAAACTTGTGAATGCCTTTTTCTCCCGTCACTGACAATCGGGTTCCTTTGACTGTGTTCTTGTTTCAGCCTTAAAGAGATAGTGAAGAGAAAGCGGCTCACAGGGTACAAGGCTGCCGGCCGCCCTCCCTCCCGCCCCCCTCCCCCTGGGCTCCTTCCCAAGGTGCTGGGGGTGGGGCTGGGGACCAGAGTCCCCTCCTTCCCCACTCTGAGCGGAGCCAGAAGTGCCAGCCTGGGCGGCGGAGGGGTGGGGAGGACCGCCTCCCCAGGGCTGGCTCACCAGGCCCTACAACCTGGGGAGAAATTGTTTCATGTTTGTGTTTCGAATCAGAAGCGGGAACTGCATTCTCTCCAGATGTATGCCAATTATTGTCAGGCCGCCTTTTAAGGTCTTTCAAGCTTTTAAAGATTATTCAAAGCACTTGAAATGGGCTTCCATCTAATGCCTCATTTCATTGCATTAAACAGCCTAGTTAATAAAGAATCAATATATTCAAAGGGCAAGGTTATCTTTTGTCTATAAGGGGTGGTGTCATTCTGAACCTTTTATAGTTCAAATGCTGAAAAAGACCTCATGAAATCCATACTCATCAAGTGGGTCACCGAGAGCAATAAAGAGAGGCCCCTGAAAGGAAAGACAGGCTGCTCTCCTTTAAAACAACTCAGCCTTATCTCCTCGCTTGGAGCGCCCAAAGAAGTCCTCCGAAAATGTCAATTTCTCATCAAGACAAGAGGCCACGATGATCATTTTTTCCAGAGAACACATACAATTAGGAGAATGCAGAGGGGCGGCTGTGGCGGCCATTTGTTGTGGCTTCTGTCCCCACGAGCCGCGAGCCCCCTCCCAGCAGATAATAAGAGTTGTTGATAACTCGAGTGTCAATACGCCAAAGAGCGAGTTTTGAATGTGAGTCCTTGTGCTCTGAGCGCGCCCGGCCGATCCCAGGCCCTGATAACGGCACCGCTGCCAACGGACACCGCAGGTTGGCCCTCACAATTAATGCGATGAATAAATCACACAAAAGAGTCGGGAGGCTTTATACTCAGTGAGACAATCCCCTGTTTTACCCTTCAAGGATTCCTTTTATGTTGGAATAAGGTTGCTTTTAATGAAATTTAAACTCATCAGAGGAAATCAAAAACCTCCAATCAGATTACAAATTGATTTTTTGGTCATTTGTCATTTCCCAGTTTCACAGAGAGCAAGTTGCCAGTCTAGTGCTGGGGAACCAGTGTGCACACAGCTCCCAGCCGCTGGCCCGGGGGCGGACGGGAGCAGACTCACACGCAGGTCTGACCCGGCCCCACTCCCCCCTCCCAGCTCAGGTCTGGCGAAGGGAACCACGGGAGCGGGCACCACTGAGCTCGGAATCTAGTGTGGCGTGTCCTGGGGACTCACAGTGATTTCTAGGTCTGCACTCATGAGCCACTCATGGCCCACGGAGACACACTCTCGGCACCGTAGTAAGTTTTGTTGGTACCCACCCACGTCCTGAATCGGCTCTGGGCCACACCGGCACAGAGCCCCAGGGAGCGTCCAGGCCTTATCCGCCAGGAGCTGGCGATCTGGGCCAAGGTGAGACACGGTCCACTCCTACTCACCCTTCCAGGCTGAGCCCAAACGCTCGCTCCTGAGCAAGGTCTGCCCTTTTTCTCGGGCCATTTGAGGGGGGCCTTCCCTGTGCTCCCCCCAGCCAGCTACCCAAGGCCACTAGCTGCTGGCCTCCCAGGGGCTCTCCCGTCCTACGCTGGATGGACTTCGAGGTTGCTGGGGACGAGACAGCCACGGCCACCCCAACCTCTCATCCTACACTGGGACAGGAGGCCCGGCCCAGGGCAAGGTCAGGGTACGCACGGCTTCAGGAAGACAGTGAACGTCATTCCTG